TGCATCCCTGGACCTCAACCGCAAGGATCCGATCGCAGTGTGCACCCTGGACCTCAACCGCAAGGATCCGATCGCAGTGTGCACCGCTGGACCTCAACCGCAAGGATCCGATCGCAGTGTGCACCGCTGGACCTCAACCAGATAGCTTGCCAGATAAAATGCCAGATAGAATGCCAGGTAGATTGCCAGATAGAATGCTGCAAGAAAATATGCCATGCCAGATAAAATGCCAGAAAATATGCCAGATAGAATGCCAGATAAAATGCCAGATAGAATGCCAGAAGATATGCCAGATAGAATGACAGATAGTATGCCAGACAAAATGCCAGATAGTATGCCAGACAGTATGCCCGATAGTATGTCAGATAGATTGCCAGATAGAATGGCAGATTGAATGGCAGATAGTATGCTAGATAGTTTGCCAGATAGAATGCAAGAAGATATGCCAGATAGAATGCCAGGTGAAACACGGGGATTACTTGAACCACAAACACACAACCACAAACCACAAACACACAACCACAGACACAACAACAAACACAATCACAACCACAACCACAAGCACAACCACAAACACACAACCACAAGCACAACCACAAACACACAACCACAACCACAAGCACACAACCACTAACACAACCACAAACACACAACTACAAACACAACCACAAACACACAACCGCAAACACACAACTACAAACACAACCACAAACACACAACCACAAACATACAACTACAAACACACAACCATGAACACAACCACAAACACACAACCGCAAACACACAACTACAAACACAACCACAAACGCAACAACAAACACACAACCACATATACAACCACAAACACACAACCACAAACACAACCACAAACACACAACCACAAACACAACCACAAACACACAATCACAAACACACAACCACACACACAACTACAACCGCAACAGAGCACACAACCACAACCACAACACACAACCACAGCACACAACCGGAGGACCCAGAAGCAAAATCGAGAACTACAATACTCACGACCATGGCAACATGCTCCTCACTATGGCATCAAGACAAATGATTGAAATGCCATGGTGGGGATCACTCGAAGTAAAGTAATTTAGTTTATGTTATATATTAGTTTGCATAGTGGAGACTCATAGAGGCTCGTAGACACCAAAAAGCCTTTGAGTATCCACTCGTGGCGGAAGGGAGACAGCATGCCAACCAAGAATTGATAGGGTTGATCCTGGTCGAGGATTCGTAGTTCATGACAGCATCATTGGGAAGGAGGAACGGAGAGGAGCATGAAACGTGAAAAAAAACACGACAATGTTAATATGTTTTGATTTATATAATACGATGGGTGACTGCAGATCTACCTTGCCCTGAAAACGGCCTGTGTACAGGATTGGGAATAGAAAACTATGTCATGATGATGCCATGTAGCGGGTCGTGGACCGGAACACTTTGCCTTTAGTTTATCCCGTGAGTCTCAGAATGTGCAAGTCACAAGTCTTAGTCCTAGTGTTAGTGTTGGCATGTTGTTCACGTGAAGCAGGGTTGCAGCCTTTTGTGAATCATGCAGTGGTTGCACCTGTGCCAGGCTTGGAAAACTGCCAGCAATTGCAGGACGACTCGGTTCTGGTAGCATCTTAGGGATGTCCTTCTTGTTCTTTTTTGAGCACGTCTAGGTGGTGGCAGCATGGAATCAATGTTGTTCGGTGTTTTCTTTCCCATATTCCGCCAGACGACTTCAAAAGTAGATAGCCTTCCCACTGATGTTTTGGGAATCTACCTGGAAACTGACTCAGTTGCCTGGAAGATGACTCCTTTCATGAATTATCAAATCCCACGAGGTGTTCAACCGCCTGGTTCAAACCTGGATGAAAGCGGGGGGGGTTGGCAGGACAGTGGGCTGGATGTGGCGGTGTTTTGAGCGAAACGCGCATTCAGATACATCATGAAATGTGTTGCATTCTTGCCTTGTTTGCCGGTGCGGGAATTATATCGATTTGGTTGTTTTTTTGCTACGGTAAAGTGATGTTTTTAATGACCATCCGTGCCAGCCATGTGCATTTCCAATGGGCCTACAACGACCCGAAAAAGATAGTAGACTTAGTAAGTAGACATAATGTCACAGCAAGTGATGATCTTTTTGCAGGAACTTTCGCTCTTTGCCAACTCGTTGAGCGAAGGGGACTCAGAGGACAGCTGGTGTTTTGAAGTTCGCTGGTGTTTTGGTCATAAATCATAAACTGATCATTCAGGGTTTCTGGCGGTGAAAGTTTGTGGTTTGATCCTGCCGAGGGAAAGACAAGACGCATCCCACAGCTTGCAAGAATGTCGTTTACATCCAGCAGATGACCAGCCAAAGCTCGGTGATTTTCATGATTGCCATTTGAAGGGAATATTGGTGAGCGCCCCACTGGGCTAGGACGAAGGTGAGCGTCCCTCAGGTCCATTCTTGGTGTGTTGTGGCAGAGGTATGGAGTTGTTGCTATTGAAGTGTTATGAAGTGTTCCTCCTTGTACTGGCTACCTTTTGATTGTGTATATTGACTGCGGGATGCAGCTATTTCGTTGCTGCAAGTTGCAGGAACTCGTGACAACATTGTCACAGCTTCCGCAGCTGCAGTCTTTGGATTTGGCAGAAAATGGACTTTGCCTGGGTGCCTTGGCTATGTGGGCATCATCCCCTTCGAGCCGTGTCAGAAGATGACACTTGACTATCTTGACTTGAACCAAACATTCTGCTGAGTGTTCACCTATTAGTCAGGCTTTGAGCCTCCACCACATTGTTACATTGTCGAGATCTTAACGCAGGACAGTGGTTTACACTGTCTCTCACAACAGAGCGATGTAAAAAGGGACGTTTTGCTGCGGCCCATTTAACACACCTAGTGCATGACAGAAACTCTTGCAACAGTTGGCGGCCCAGAAGGGCCACAAAGACTCAGTTTGAGCGAACCCTTTCATTGAGGGGGGCTCCAATTTCCTTGGTTTTTTCCCCAAACAGTGTGAGCACACTGAGGGGTAAAGTCTTACGGTAGGGGAAAGGAAGGTGTGCTTAGATCGCTGTTCCGCGCGGGCGTGTGCGGCTGAGTCGTTGCTATTTACAGCACATTCATGCCTCTCGACATCGTCCATGTGCACTTCGACTGCGCAGGGTCGCAGAATCTGGGTGTCCGCGGCCGGTGCTTCTAGCGACTGCGCTCTCGTTGTGGCGCCGTGCGCATTTTGGTACATGG